ATAGACCCATCACTCCTATAGACCCGCGACTCTGTATGAAATTTGAAGAAGTGACTTTAAGTACCATTCACAGTAGTATCGTGGCGCGTTCACATGCGCCTGGCGCCCAACTGTACCGTGAGTACCGAATGTACCTAAGTACGAATAAGTAATTCTTTCCTTACCGAATTTCACCGTATTTAGATTCAGATTAGTAGAATATTTAAATTGAACGCTCCCCTGACCGAACTTGGCGTTTCGGCACAGGAAAAGACGTTGCAATATATATATATATATATAAATTTTATTTTGAGGTTACTTTGTAAGAAACTCGACATTTTATATGTATATAGCATTTTATCTGTACTAATACAAAATACTACGAAATCACTAATAAAATAGATAATATAAATTTATATTAATTTGATAGCGGAAACAAAACGCAAAAATATTACAAATTATTTACATTATACGCTGCAACACTACCAGACTGCTATCGCCGCCATGTTATGAATTGTGCGATTCGTACATGCGCGAGTACATTTATTTGCCCATCAGGGAGTGTAACTACTGTTCTTACTTATACTATGATCGGACTATAAATACCAGCCTAAAGCACATTGTGGCATATAGGCGAATACCCCAGATGCCTTAGCAGCCATACAGAAAAAGAAGAAAAATACCGGCCTATGAAAGAGCAGGGTGGGAAAGTCATTCGATAGAGGGGCGGTATTCATAGTCCGTTCTTATATTTAAGATCGTCTTAAAACCTCGTTCAACTAATCAAGAGATGATATGCGGCCATTTGATTGGTTGAACAAGGGCTTAAGACGATCTTAAATATAAGAACCAACTGTGAATACTGACCTAAAATACCAAAGAATATAGACGAGTATAGAAGCACGGTTTTCGGTAAAGTCACTAGATTACAAAGTAACGCAATTCATAAGATACATGGGAGTCAAGATGGTGTCGAAAAGTGTAAATAGTGTATACATTGTGTAAATCATCTCTACTTTAAGTGCAGTCTTTATAACCTGTTATAAACTTCTTCGCACATGAAGAGAAATAAGAGGTATCAAGATGCCAGGTTGTTGTGTTAAAGACTGCAATAATCGCAGCGAAAGAAGATTTCGGTTATTTCGTGTTCCGAAAAATAAAGAAAGAAGGCATGAATGGCTTCAATTAATTGGAAGAGATACTTTGCCAGAAAGGGCTGAAATTTGTGAGGTAATTAATGAATTACAAACGTACAAAACATTTTTGTCTTACAATACTAATTATTATATTAATTTTACAGATGCATTTTGATGAAAATCAATTTGAGAACAATCGAGCAGATAAGAGAAAATTGCTCCGCCCATATGGAAAACCTAATTTATTACATTTAGAAAATAATTCCAATGAAGTAACAAACAATATGAGTACTAATAATGGTAAGAATGTTATAATTCTCGTAAGTTTTACATAATTCAATGATACTTAGATATATAAGAAAGATACAATTTAGGTATAATAATCTAAATCATTTTCTTATGAACATATGTATTACTGTAATATTATTTATTTGAAATAATTGTAGATAAATACGAGGACAATGCAAATAATTTGAATGACAATTCCTACAGTAATATCAATAATGGTGACAATACTATTACTGAGTTGGAAATTATATCCACAGATTGTGGTACCAATAAATCAAATCATTTTGAAGCAACCGATGTGGTGGTAATGAGCGATACTGCATCAAATAAAAATCTTGATGAAATAATAAAAAATTTTGAAGAACAAATAAAAAAATTAAAGAAATCTTTAAATAAGACTGTGGTGGAACGTAATATCTTAAAAAGAAAATTGCAAAAAGAAAATGCAAGATTTAATGAAATATTTAACGAAGATCAAAAGGACTTTATCACGCGTAAAACACAAAGAGGAACATCATGGTCTGCAGATACAATTACAAAAGCATTGAAACTTTATGCAGCTTGCGGTCAAAAAGGCTACGAAGAGGTGCTCCGACAGCATTTACCGTATCCAAGTATCCGCACTCTACAAAGTCGCATACAAGGCTTAAAATTTAAGCCAGGTAAATTTCTCTGCAAAAGAGAGATGTCTGCAGAGCAATGAAAATTTATGGGATATAAATATATATCAATCATTGCTTGGAAATGAAAAGGAAACTGATTTAAATAATACAGTTCAAGCTGCATTATATTATTTAATAGGTGCATTATTATTTAAAATACAGAAAAATTTTACACATTGCAATAATTGTTTTAATGTTCTTGTGACTACGAATGATTCTAACAACAATTCTAGCTACAATAATCTAAGTTTTTATATAAAGTTAAGAGAATATAAAGAAAATATTTTAATATTTCCAAGCGTGGAGATATATAATTTAATATATAAGTGCGAACTATTATTTCGGAAAAATGAGATTAACTTACTTTTTAATGTATTAAAAGTCAATGATTTTATAACAATGTTTTTATAAGAATATTCGATAAACTTTATTCCTTCGTGTCATAATATTGGTTATAAATTTATAAAAAATTTTGTAATAACAAGAATTCATTTTTCATTAAAAAAAGTAAGCAGTGATGTAAAAAAAGCAGCTGGTCATAGCAGTAGAAGGTTGCGATGAAAATGGCCATAGCAAATGGAAAAAAAACATAAATAAAAATTATTTTTATATAATTTACAATTTTATTTTCTTTCGTACAAAAAATTGGATTATATATACAATTATATACAATTGAAACGGCCGCGTTGCGTGGAGTCAAAATGGCAGCTTTTTTCCCCCTAATTGCGTTACTTTGTAATCTAGTGACTTTAGTTTTCGGTATCCCGCGGGTCGCACGAGCTAGGGTACTTTGTTATAGTTTACGTCACGTATACTGTACTGAAATGCTATAGATAGTACAGAATAAGTGAGTAAACTATAGCAAAGTATCCCAGCTCGAGCGACCCGGGGCACCAGAAACGTGCTTCTATGGTAATACTATAGTGCTCTCGATTGGTTTTTGAACGGCAATTGGGAGATCAGGTGCTCCCGAGTGTTGTTTCTGAACGCAGTCCTAAACTTGTGCAAGAGTGCAGTTAGTACAAACAGACCTCATATCTCCCCTTTTCTTTACGCAGGATTCACACAGCGTCCGATATTCGATGTGCGACGTTCGATATCCAATCAGAAAATTTTGATTTTTAAAAATATCGAATATGTGTGAATCTTGCATTACATCACTGACGAGGGAGGTACTGTTAAGGGTCGACAGGTCGTCCGGCCAGACTCCGAATTGATGTTGGAGACCTTGCGCGGTGACAACGCGAAACTCCGATTTCAGTGTTGCTAACGCCGAGAAACCAATTCTCGGGTTTTATGTAGTGGTGCATGTCTGTACACGTACATACACCATTGCATTGCTCACGCGGACGCACCATAGAGAGACAAGGACCGATAATCACGTGTTCTCCTTGTTTCTCTATCGTGCCGGTATACGCGAGATGCGGCCTGAAAATGCTTTCTGGCCTTCCGTAGCAGAAGGCAGTAGCGTAGCAAGGCTAATAAGTACCTACTTTTTGTAAATTTTATATATGCTTATGCACATATGTGCGTGTATATATATATATCCCACACGGAACAAAACATCCAATGGACGTCCATATAACCTCCATACCTCCATGCGACCTCTACCTCCACGGTGGACAACAGATGGATTTCTAATAGATATCCATACTATCTCCACAATAGATATCGTCTACAAATCCATCATGGATGTACATTAGACATCTATTATGGATATATGATAGATTTATACATCCTTGCATTGAATAAAATAAAAATTAAGTTTTATTTAAAATTCTGATTTCTGAGAATGTTTTAAAAAATATTGAAAAATTTGTAATTATATATATATTATTCAATTTTAACTTATATATACGTAACATTTATTAAAACAGTTTTTAAAAATATACTTACATAATAATACAATTGTAATAGCAAGATTAACAAATTGTATGAATCAAAACTTTTTAGATTAAACTGTAATATTTATAAAATTTATTATTAAATATAAAAAATTTTTAATTTTTTAATTAAAAATAGAAAGTATTGAATTTGAAATGACTTTAAATCTTGCAAAAAATACATTAGCTAGTTTTTAATAAAATTACTGTTACAAGTACGCAAATAAATAAATAATGATTAAAAAACATTCAACAATTTAAAAATTAATTCGATAAATAAATATCTCCTAATAATTAATGAAAATTAACGTAGACAATTTTTTTATAATAGAATATATATTTTTATTGATAACGTTTATAAATAAAAGTATAATTATATAATACAATATGTTAATATAAAATTACTACAAGTGTATTTTCAATATATATATAAATTTTTTTGCGACCTTTATTACATAACTCCTAGAATGACAAAGAAAGATAACATACCGAATTTACAAAAGGAAGACTTTTCTCGCTTCATTTTCGGTCTCAATACAAAAACAATGTTCCCAGATTATACATATATATATTTTTTTTCCGATGAGTAACGCGAGGACATTATCTTATAATTAGACAAATTAGGTCGATAAAATAATATATAGATACAAATATTTGTATAGTAATGCTAATTGTAATGATGACAAACATGAACGCTTATTCTCTTATGAAAAATTTTCGTATGCGAAGATGACGCTGAACGAAAATTGTGTGTGTGTGTTTGTGTGTGTGTGTGTGTGTGCGTGTGCGTGCGTGCGTGTATGTGTGTATGTGAGATTGGTATATACTTTTACACAGTTAAAAATATATACCAATCAGAGGGATCGCGCAGCATCATTTTCGCATACGAAAAATTTTCTCGCTCCATTTTCGGTTTCTACGAAAAAAATCTTTCCAGATTATACATATATATATATTTTACCCGAGTAACGCGAGGACGTCTTATAATTAGACAAATTAGGTCGGTAAAACAATATATATATATTATAGATACAATTATGTGTATAGTAATGCTAATTGTAATTATACTGACAAACATGAACGCTTATTCTCATATAAAAAATTTTCATATGCGAAGGTGACGTTGTACGAATATTGCGTGCGTGCGTGCGTGCGTGTGTATGTGTGTGTATAAAATAAAATATATGTATAATATATATGTGTAAATGTATGTATAAAATATATAATACAATATGTTAAATATAAGAGATATAAGAGAGTTTTACATATATATATACATACATATATTTAATGAAGAAAATATATATACATTGAATGCGTGTGTGTGTATGTATATGCGCGCGCAATGAAAATGCTTATAACGTTACGTTTTGCAGGAGGACATGGAGCAGGTGGCAAATTTACACCAGACTCTTCTTCGCTTTCCGACGAAGAGTAAATTTTTCTCGCTCTATGTTTTCGGTAATATTTTGCTTCCTTTTCCGTGTCCATATCTGACGTGTATAAAGCTTTCTCTGCCTTCGCATAAGCCTTCTGTAAGGACGCTGAAAATATTATAAACATTAAATATTATAAATAAGTAAAATATTTATAAAAGTCAGTAAAACCCTATACTTAAATATAGTACTTACAATATTCGCCAAAAATTCTTATAACTTCTAATGCGGGCCAATCAAACTTTGGTATCTCCTGTTTCTCTACCGCTTTTCGGATTTTTATATCCGTCTTAAAATGCGAGGGATATTTGCATTTATCTTTATTTTGCAACCAAATTTTTGGTATTACTTGAATACCATCCGGGAATTCTGCGACGACAAAGCCTTGATTCGACATCTTCCAATGCGATTCTAAAAAAGAGCTTCTGCGTGTAATATTGTAATAAAAAAAGAAATCAATTTATATA